ACCAGTTACCATCCAAGGCTATGGAAAACGGTCCGTCCTGCTATTTACCCATAGCTGGTGGAGAATGAGAGGATTCATACCTTTCCCAAGGGTCTTAGCACGTAAGTGAATGTAATACCTTCGACGAGAATTCGAACTCGACTCTCCGATTCCTCAATTCGAGCCGCTATCCATTAATTTTGGGACACTTCGTGGCGTAATGTTTAGCAAGCTTGTCACATTAGAACAATTAATACTGAGTCGTGTGTTCGATCCTCATTGGGTACCCCATGCATTCGCTACGCTTATGAAATTGTTAAATATGTGCGTGCACGTTCATATAAATGTGTGATTGCATATTTTTCGATTATGACTTTTAACATGCGCTTCACTCTGTGTAAAGGCTAGAACCCAACAATCCCTGTGCACAACGACAAATATTTTGACATAATGATGCCTCCATAGCCAACTTTGACAGGGTTTTCTCAGAAGTGGGGGCTAAGTTGCAGTTGTAAAAGCATGTGTGCAGATTTTGTTTGACAAATAGTTTTTGGTGAAATCATTTCTCAAATTTTGCTCTGTCTATAAAATGGGTTATAAGGGAGAAAGAAAGAAACTTGCAATAAGAAAGAAAGAAAGAAAGAAAGAAAGCGTGGAATAAAAAAGAAAGAAAGAAAGCGTGGAATAAAAAAGAAAGAAAGAAGATGACATAAGAAAGAATGAAAAAAGAAAGAAAGAAAGCGTAGAATAAAAAAGAAAGAAAGAAGATGACATAAGAAAGAATGAAAAAAGAAAGAAAGAAGCTTAGCATCAAAAAGACATAAAAAAGAATGAAGCTTGAAATATGAAAGGAAAGAATGAGTTTAAAATAAGAAAGAAAGAAAGAAAGAAAGAAAGAAAGAAAGAAAGAAAGAAAGCGTGGAATAAAAAGGAAAGAAAGAAGATGACATAAGAAAGAAAGAAAGCGTGGAATAAAAAAGAAAGAAAGAAGATGACATGAGAAAGAATGAAAAAAGAAAGAAAGAAGCTTAGCATAAAAAAGAATAAAGTTTGAAATATGAAAGAAAGGAATGAGTTTGAAATAAGGAAGAAAAAAGAAAGAAAGAAAAAAAGAAAGCGTGGAATAAAAAAGAAAGAAAGAAGATGGCATAAGAAAGAATGAAAAATGAAAGAAAGAAGCTTAGCATAAAAAAGAATAAAGCTTGAAATATGAAAGAAAGGAATGAGTTTGAAATAAGAAAGAAAGAAAAAAGAAAGAAAGAAAAAAAGAAAGCGTGGAATAAAAAAGAAAGAAAGAAGATGGCATAAGAAAGAATGAAAATGAAAGAAAGAAGCTTAGCATAAAAAGAATAAAGTTTGAAATATGAAAGAAAGGAATGAGTTTGAAATAAGAAAGAAAGAAAAAGAAAGAAAGAAAAAGAAAGCGTGAATAAAAAAAAGAAAGAAAGAAGATGGCATAAGAAAGAATGAAAAAAAAGAAAGAAAAAGAAGCTTTAGCATAAAAAAAGAATAAAGCTTGAAATATGAAAGAAAGGAATGAGTTTGAAATAAGAAAGAAAAGAAAAAGAAAGAAAGAAAGAAAGAAAGAAAGCGTGGAATAAAAAAGAAAGAAAGAAGATGGCATAAGAAAGAATGAAAAAAGAAAGAAAGAAGCTTAGCATAAAAAAGAATAAAGTTTGAAATATGAAAGAAAGGAATGAGTTTGAAATAAGAAAGAAAGAAAAAAGAAAGAAAGATAAAAAGAAAGCGTGGAATAAAAAAGAAAGAAATAAGATGGCATAAGAAATAATGAAAAAAGAAAGAAAAAAGCTTAGCATAAAAAAGAATAAAGCTTGAAATATGAAAAGAAAGGAATGAGTTTGAAATAAGAAAGAAAGAAAAAAAAGAAAGAAAGAAAAAAAAAAAAAGTGGAATAAAAAAAAAAAAAGAAGATGGCATAAGAAAGAATGAAAATGAAAGAAAGAAGCTTAGCATAAAAAAAGAATAAAGCTTGAAATATGAAAGAAAGGAATGAGTTTGAAATAAGAAAGAAAGAAAAAGAAAGAAAAAAAAAAAAGCGTGGAATAAAAAAAAGAAAGAAAGAAGATTGCATAAGAAAGAATGAAAAAAAAAGAAAGAAGCTTAGCATAAAAAGAATAAAGTTTGAAATATGAAAGAAAGGAATGAGTTTGAAATAAGAAAAAAAGAAAAAAGAAAGAAAGAAAAAAAGAAAGCGTGGAATAAAAAAGAAAGAAAGAAGATGGCATAAGAAAGAATGAAAAAAGAAAGAAAGAAGCTTAGCATAAAAAAGAATAAAGTTTGAAATATGAAAGAAAGGAATGAGTTTGAAATAAGAAAGAAAGAAAAAAGAAAGAAAGAAAAAAAGAAAGCGTGGAATAAAAAAGAAAGAAAGAAGATGGCATAAGAAAGAATGAAAAAGAGAAAGAAAACTTAGCATAAAAAAGAATGAAGCTTGAAATATGAAAGAAAGGAATGAGTTTGAAATAAGAAAGAAAAAAAAACGAAAGAAAGAAAAAAAGAAAGCGTGGAATAAAAAAGAAAGAAAGAAGATGGCATAAGAAAGAATGAAAAATGAAAGAAAGAAGCTTAGCATAAAAAAGAATAAAGCTTGAAATATGAAAGAAAGGAATGAGTTTGAAATAAGAAAGAAAGAAAAAAGAAAGAAAGAAAAAATGAAAGCGTGGAATAAAAAAGAAAGAAAGAAGATGGCATAAGAAAGAATGAAAAAAGAAAGAAAGAAGCTTAGCATAAAAAAGAATAAAGTTTGAAATATGAAAGAAAGGAATGAGTTTGAAATAAGAAAAAAAAAAAAGAAAGAAAAAAAAGAAAGCGGAATAAAAAAAAGAAAGAAGATGGCATAAGAAAGAATGAAAAAGAAAGAAAAGAAGCTTAGCATAAAAAAAAGAATAAAGTTTGAAATATGAAAGAAAGGAATGAGTTTGAAATAAGAAAGAAAAAAGAAAAGAAAGAAAAAAGAAAGCGTGGAATAAAAAAGAAAGAAAGAAGATGGCATAAGAAAGAATGAAAAAGAAAGAAAAAAAGCTTAGTTTAAAAAAGAATAAAGTTTGAAATATGAAAGAAAGGAATGAGTTTGAAATAAGAAAAAAAAAAAAAAAGAAAGAAAAAAAAAAGCGGAATAAAAAAAAAAAGAAGATGGCATAAGAAAGAATGAAAAAAAAAGAAAGAAGCTTTATAAAAAAGAATAAAGTTTGAAATATGAAAGAAAGGAATGAGTTTGAAATAAAAAGAAAGAAAAAAAAAAAAAGAAAAAAAAAAAGCGTGGAATAAAAAAAAAAGAAAGAAGATGGCATAAGAAAGAATGAAAAAGAAAGAAAGAAGCTTAGCATAAAAAAAATAAAGTTTGAAATATGAAAGAAAGGAATGAGTTTGAAATAAGAAAGAAAGAAAAAAAGAATGAAAAGAAAAAGAAAAGTGGAATAAAAAAAAGAAAGAAGATGGCATAAGAAAGAATGAAAAATGAAAGAAAGAAGCTTAGCATAAAAAAGAATAAAGCTTGAAATATGAAAGAAAGGAATGAGTTTGAAATAAGAAAGAAAGAAACAAGAAAGAAAGAAAAAAAGAAAGCGTGGAATAAAAAAGAAAGAAAGAAGATGGCATAAGAAAGAATGAAAAATGAAAGAAAGAAGCTTAGCATAAAAAAGAATAAAGCTTGAAATATGAAAGAAAGGAATGAGTTTGAAATAAGAAAGAAAGAAAAAAAAAGAAAGAAAAAAAGAAAGCGTGGAATAAAAAAGAAAGAAAGAAGATGGCATAAGAAAGAATGAAAAATGAAAGAAAGAAGCTTAGCATAAAAAAGAATAAAGCTTGAAATATGAAAGAAAAGGAATGAGTTTGGAATAAGAAAGAAAGAAAAAAGAAAGAAAGAAAAAAAGAAAGCGTGGAATAAAAAAGAAAGAAAGAAGATGGCATAAGAAAGAATGAAAAAAGAAAGAAAGAAGCTTAGCATAAAAAAGAATGAAGCTTGAAATATGAAAGAAAGGAATGAGTTTGAAATAACAAAGAAAGAAAGAAAGAAAGAAAGAAAGAAAGAAAGAAAGAAAGAAAGAAAGAAGCAATCTTGCAAAAATAAAAGAAAGAAAGAATGAAAGAAAGAATCTTAGAATAAGAAAAGAAGGAAGAAAGAAGCTTGGAATGAGTAAAGAAAGAAAGAAAGAAAGAAAGAAAGAAAGAAAGAAAGAAAGCGTGGAATAAAAAAGAAAGAAAGAAGATGACATAAGAAAGAATGAAAAAAAAAGAAGCTTAGCATAAAAAAAAATGAAGCTTGAAATATGAAAGAAAGGAATGAGTTTGAAATAAGAAAGAAAGAAAGAAAGAAAGAAAGAAAGAAAGAAAGAAAGAAAGAAAGAAAGAAGCAATCTTGCAATAATAAAAGAAAGAAAGAATGAAAGTTGGAATAAGAAAAGAAGGGAGAAAGAAGCTTGGAATGAGTAAAGAAAGAAAGAAACAAACAAACAAACAAACAAACTTGGAAGGAGTAAAGAAAGAAAGAAAGAAAGAAAGAAAGAAAGAAAGAAAGAAAGAAAGAAGCAATCTTGCAATAATAAAAGAAAGAAAGAATGAAAGTTGGAATAAGAAAAGAAGGGAGAAAGAAGCTTGGAATGAGTAAAGAAAGAAAGAAAGAAACAAACAAACAAACAAACTTGGAAGGAGTAAAGAAAGAAAGAAAGAAAGAAAGAAAGAAAGAAAGAAAGAAGCAATCTTGCAATAATAAAAGAAAGAAAGAATGAAAGTTGGAATAAGAAAAGAAGGGAGAAAGAAGCTTGGAATGAGTAAAGAAAGAAAGAAACAAACAAACAAACAAACAAACTTGGAAGGAGTAAAGAAAGAAAGAAAGAAAGAAAGAAAGAAAGAAAGAAAGAAAGAAACTTGGAATAAGAAAGAATGAAAAAAGAAAGAAAGAATAAAGAAAGACAAATTTACAATCTCAGCGTTACCAAATTTTAAATTGACTTTCTTTTCATTATTCTTTTACTATATTCGTCGTCATTTGTGTGTGTCCGAGGTGGGTGATCATGGCTCTCCACAACTTCCTATCCTTTGTAGCTCTAAATAAGTTTTGTCCTTTTGCTATCTCTCGTAATCCTTCTTCTGCCATGGTTATTCGCTGCTTTCCTCTAAATCTTTTCCCTTCAATCTGCCTTGTGAGTATCAAATTCTGAAAGCCCTCTTTCCCCATTATGTGTCCTAGAAATTTCAAATAGGGCTCAATTTTCTATGACAGTTGACATATAAACAGACCCCCCATTTGTTGGCCAGGATAGATTCAGTATGTTTCTTTTGTTGATTTTCTAAGCATAGCTTAGATATGGCAGGAGGCCGAAAGTATGGGCTACAGAATGAGGATCGAATATGGACATAATATCGGTGTCCAATTTTTTTATCAAAATAACTTATAAACTGAACCCCCATTTATTGGCCAGGAAGGATTCTATAAATTACTTTTGTTCAGATATGAATATAACACATAAAATAATACTTTTGTAATCAGTATTATCTTAACAGAAATATATAGGGACATAATGTGGGGGGTCCAATTTTGTGTCATAACAAGTTATATACTGATCCCCTATTTCTTGGCCAGAGTAAAGTCTATTTCTTTAGTTCAAGGAAGATGAAAATAACAATTAAAAATACCTTTTTGTAAGTACGAGTTTAAGAATATATACTGACATAAAATGGGGGTCCAATTTTATATCATAACATTATAAACTGATCCCTCATTTCTTGGCCAGTATAGATTCAATATATTTCTTCACTTTAAGATGAAAATAACACTGAAAAAATACCATTTTGTAATCAGTATGAGCTTCACAAGAATATATACGGACGTAATGTGGGGGTCTAATTTTGTTTCATAGCATGTGATAAGCTGATCCCCTATTTCTTGACCAGATTAGTCTATTTCTTTAGTTCAGGGAAGATGAAAATAACACTTAAAAATACCTTTTTGTAAGTATGAGCTTAAGAATATATACTGACATAAAGTGGGAGTCCAATTTTATATCATAATAATAAACTGATCCCCCATTTCTTGGCCAGAGGAGATTCAAAATATTTTTTTAGTTCGGAGAAAATTAAAACACCACTGAAATAATACATCTTTGTAATAAGTGTGAGCATAACTAGAATATGAACGGACAATATCGAGGTCCAGTTTAACATTCTAACCAAGTTATAAGTTGATCCCTCATTTCTTGGCCAGTGTAGATTCAGTATATTTCTTTAGTTCAGAAAAGATGGAAACGACACTGAAAATAATAGCTTTTTCATCTTGAGAGAATTGAACTCCTTTTTACAATAATATTTATTTCTAACAGCGATGCCATACTGCGCTACCAAGTAACGAATTGGGTTACCACTTATTAAATCTTGAATTGACTTTCTTCACATTAGTGGTAAGGTGGTGGCCTTAGATTATGCTATGAGTCTACAGGATAAAATGACTAATGCTACACAGAATTCGTTTACCATCACTCTATCCCCGAAAGAAAAGCTTACTATATTATATAAACGTTCCAAACATGCAGTGGTTATATTGAACCATTTAACGGAAACGCTCATTGGTATCCATCCCACTGAATCAGTCTACCAATAAGCATTTTGTTACCTAATTGTGTCCAGTTGTCTCTTAGAAGAAAGAAAGAAAGAAAGAAAGAAAGAAAGAAAGAAAGAAAGGAAGAAAGAGAGAAAGAAAGACAAACACGTTTAGAAAGAAAGAACGAAAAAGAAAGAAAAAGTAACACTTAGAATAAAAAAATGAAAGAAAGAAAGACAGACAAACACGTTTAGAAAGAAAGAACGAAAAAGAAAGAAAAAGTAACACTTAGAATAAAAAAAGAAAGAAAGACAAACACTTTTAGAAAGAAAGAACGAAAAAGAAAGAAAAAGTAACACTTAGAATAAAAAAATGAAAGAAAGAAAAGCAGAAATTAAGACACCAAGAAGAAAGAAAGAAAAACAGGCGCTTAGAAGAAAGAAAAAGGAAACAAACAAAAATAAACACTTAGAAGAAAGAAAGAAAGAAAGAAAGAAAGAAAGAAAGAAAGAAAGAAAAGTCTGTTTAAAAGAAAGAAGAATGGTGCTTTTAATAAGAAGGGGTTTGGTAAATATTCTACGGAGACCCTCGAAATGTTTCGTCAGGCTTTTGGTGAAAAAAGGTATTTTTTTCGTGATATTTTAAAGCCGTTCGAGTGTCGGCTCAAGAGGATGACCGTTCAAGGCGATCAATCAAAAAACGCCAGAAAATATTGTGGAAGTGTGGATTTGTGAACACATCCATATGTGACTGTCGACGAACAAACCACACTACTTACTGGAATATTTCCTCTTTTTTTCTTTTTTTCTTTTTTTTTTTTTTTTTGCGGAACCTAATTCAGGAACTTTCCGATACCAACTCGTTGTCGCCATCGAGCGGTGACGAACGACAGAAAAAGAAAAGAAAGCAAGAGAAAAGAACTGAAGACAAATGAAAAGACAAGATGGCAGTTTCTTCAACAACATGGTCTCCTTCGTCCACTTCCAGCGAAAACTTCTTCCTGTTTCGTTTTTACTCCGACACTGTTTTACAGATGTCTACCAGCTTGTTTAATCAGTCGCCATTTTGAGGATCAAAAGGCTGTGAAACACTAAGCTGTGGATCTTCTTTTGCGAAAGTAATTTACTCTTTTACAAATAAGCCTCCTGGACTGGCAATACTTTTGAAGTAAGCTTTTGCAGCGAGAAATTATTACAACGATTTTTTTCTTACAAAATCTCACATGCGCTTCTCTATTTCTCTACCAGTTATCTATCTATCTATCTATCTATCTATCTGTCTATCCATCCCATTCTTCTATCTATCTATCTATGCCATTCTTCTATCTCTCTATCTATCTATCCCATTCTTCTATCTATCGATCGATCGATCGATCTATCCCCTTCATCTATCTATCTATCTATCTATTCCCATCTATCTATCTATCTATCTATCTATCTATCTATCTATGCCATTCTTCCATCTCTCTATCTATCTATCCCATTCTTCTATCTATCTATCTATCCCCTTCTATCTATCTATCTATCCCCTTCTATCTATCTATCTATCTATCTATCTATCTATCTATCCATCCCATTCTTCTATCTATCTATCTATCTATCTATCTATCTATCTATCTATGCCATTCTTCTATCTATCTATCGGTCTATTCCATTCTAACTGGTAGTTGGAGCCCACCCTCTTGCGTAGTGTCTTCCGAGGCTGCGCTGATCAGCCGTTGCATAATATCGGGGTTCTTGCAGAGTCATGTCGCGCATGAAAGGGTTTCCCTGCATGCAACCCCGGTGGGTAACCCCGAGACCTCAGTATGTTACAGTCTGCGCCAGTTCCCTTCCTGCACATGTAACATTAGACATTAGACGACCGACTGCCCTCGGCCTTTCCTTACCAAAACAACACGCCATGCCTACAAGATACCAAAGATATGAATCCAAACAAGCTCAACAAAAATCACCCAAACCCGTCAACCATTCTTTCTCCAAAGTTCCTGGTATTCATACCAAACTCTGCAGTGTGGAATCGTTCCTCTTCCAAAAGTCTCAGGACAGCCTTGATCTCGGTGAAACTAACCATAACTCTTCAATCCCGTCCTCTGATTTCTCAATTCCTTGAAAGGGCTCTAACATCCACATGCATTGCCTGGGAGTTTAACTCAGTCAGCTATCTCAACATTGCGTGTTAAATAGTATTTCTGACAGTATAGAAAAGGCCATCTCCCTACACCCGTCTTCAAATACATTTCTGTTTAGTGACTTTAATGCCTACCATGTCAGGTGGCTTAAACACTCTGTCACTGATCCCGCTGGAATCGAGATGTAAGGGGTGATTGTCTGGCAGCCATGAATGGGTTCTCTTGCTTGTGTGGCATGGTGCTGTTACCAGACGTAGGGTTATCCAGCAGCCACCATCTTGACCTAAGGTAGCACTACTTCCTCAAGGCACTTGATGTAGGCTTCCATGTTGAGTTTGAGGCCCTGTGGGAAGATGAATGGAGGCATAACGTCGCCGTCGCCATCACTAGCGATCACTTCAAACATCTTCGTAATCACCATTAGACTCATCCAACTCTTTCCGAATCCTCTGCATTCTCTTCAAATGGACACCAAAACACTCTGAAATGTTCTTATTTGAAGCTTCCGGCGCGAATGCCAAGCAGTACAGCATGCCGTTTCCAAATTTCTGGCGGAATAAATAGTGTCATGGTGCTCTTTTTTATGGCACACTGTGACCAACTAAGCCTACTATACTGTGAAGAAGACAAATTCCAAAATAAACAGTGTGCATGCACAAAATTAAAAATATAAAATGGCGACACCGCACTCTGCATATATATATATAAACACACACACACACACATATTCAAGTTGAAATTGAAGGAGGCACGGTGGAGCAGTGGTTAGCGGCTTGGATTGAGGAATCGCAGGGCCGAGTTCGAATTCCAGTCGAATCCATTGCATTCACTTACGTGAATACCCTTGGGAAAGGTATGTATCCTCTTCATCTCCCTCCAGCTATGGGTAAAATAGCAGGACAGACTGGGCTCTATAGCCTTGGATGGCAACTGGTCTAGGAGAAGGACAACTCTGAATTCAAAACCTGCGGAGGGTCGTTTGGGAACCTTGTGGCATGCATTCGGTGCACCAGGTTTCTGTATTCGTCCTCCAAAAGTGTGGCTGGTCCTGCACAAGGCCTTCACCACTATAAACAAATCTCATGTGCCGGTGTCGGGATGTCGGTTTCCTGGGGACTTATCGGCCTGACCCTCATACGTCGAACGCGACGGGAGAGTCGATTATAAGTTGAAATGTATAGATTTGCTGTTTTTATTATTTTGCGTGTGCATATATATATATTACTTATTTTAAAACCCAGGTTGTGTGTGTGTGTTCGTTTATATATGGGATCGGATTTCCTACATTTTTCAACCGATTTCAACAAAACTTCACTTTTTGGTTTTTTTTTTGTTTTTTTTGGCAGGTGTTTTCTTATTGTCTTGCACACTTTTTTTTTATATTTTACATTCAGAATGCTTTAAAAATTCCATTTACAAGACAATTGTTTATAATAAAATTCTATTCAATCGATAGAGTCATAACGATTGAAAACAATGTTTTTGTTTGAGTTTGGGTTTGACCAATTTGTAAAAAAAAACAACATAATTAAGACATGTGTGTCCGTCAACCTTAAACAATAATCTTTGTCAATTTTATTTTTCAGTCTTTATGATGGTCGATACTTGATCTATCTCTTACTGTTACATCCCCGGGCAACGCCGGGCTCTACTGCTTGTATTTGTATATATATATATATATATATCGCTTTAAATGCACTGTACAATATGTAAGTCTGTGTTTATACTTATATATATATATCCTGTGTATAGTTATAAGATATATATACGTATGTGTACGCTTTAACATATATATATATATCCTTCTAATTTTCTATGCATTGCATGCAATACACACACACACCCCACACACACACACATATATATATATATATATATATATATATATATATATATATATATATATATATATGATTATATTCATATATATATATATCAATGCAGTATAAGAGACCTATTATGTATATATTAATAAATATATAATACCCCACATCGACAGTACGACTCGGAGTTTCATGCACTAAATAATATTACCAACACTAAGTAATATTACCAACACCACCAACGGTAAAGATATCAAATTCCTGGACGTAACCTTAAACCTGTCTAATGGATTTTATAAACTATACGTCAACAAACAATCTAACCACCACCATAGAATTCTAAACAATTTTCATAAGTCGGTCCAAATGTTGATTTTCCAACAATTTTAGTAATAACGAAATTTTTGACAAGTCGAAAAGCAAATATGTAGAAGACTTAGAACAAAGTAACCATAAAGTAAACTTAAAGTACTAATAAATAAACAAAAAGTTATTAAGAAACCGAAAAAGTGTAAAAGAAATATCATATTGTTTCATCCACCCTTTAGCAGCAATGTCAAAACTAACATCGGAAGATTTTTCCTGAATTTAATCCATAAGCATTTTAGCCATTCCCTAACGCTAAAAAAGTGTTCAAATAAAAACAACGTTAAAGTTTACTATAGTTGTACTAAAAGCGTTGACCAATATATATCACAACACAACAATATTATACTAAACAAGCACTAAACCAATCTACAAGATAACAGTAACCTCACAATGAATGAATGCAACTGCTGAAAAAAACGAAACCTGCCCACTGAACGGCAAGTGCATGACTAAAGGTATATAATATATAGAGCTAGCATCAAACATGTCATATTCTGTTTTGGTTCAACTGAAAACCATTGGAAATCACGTTTCTACTATCAACAAATGAGTTCAAGCAATATCAAATACAGTAACAGCACTACCTTCTCTAAACTTTTCTGGAAAATAAAAAGCGGCAATAGAAACCCAAACATCACCTAGTATGACGTAGCAAAAAGCCAAACCATTTAACGTAAAAGTTAATAAATGTAATCTTTGTCTTTTAGAAAAAACTTGTCATTATAAAACATTTAAATAACCCTAATTTTTTAACCAAAAGAAGTGAAATAATCACCACATGCAGACATAAAAACAAATACGTGCTCAAGTACTTTGGCCCAGATTAATATAGTTTTTTCTCATTCGTACCCTACGTATACTATTATTAATATTACTATTGCTTATTATTATTATATTATTAATATTATTAATAATATTATTATTATATATTAATATTATTACTATTTATAAGCATAAATATTTAATCATAATTCAAGCATAAAAATTTAGTCATTATTCCGATATAAACTGAAAAAAATACTTTCAATTTTTGCATAAGGCTTCACAAGATTCTACTGTTTTACAATTTAATTAAATATGGCGGCTCAAACAAAACGTGATCAAATTGTCACATAGAAAATGGCTGGTATGAAGAATTGTAAGTTGATAAAATTGGTGAGTGTGTGGTGTGAATTATCTCCCCTTATACGTATTCTTTATTTAAATAAATCCAGCCGGATACACTCCGTTCGTTGTACCTGCGTTCGGTTTCTCACTAGAATTTATTCAACTTAGAATCGACATGGAAAATTGCATGAGATCACAAAGTTTCAACGTATCATATTATTAACATTACTATTACCAATTATTATTATTATTATTATTATTATTATTATTACCTATTGTTGTTTTTAGGATCGCTATCACCTTTTAAGTGTTTTACCCCAGGCAAAACAAGAATTATCCCCCTGGAAGCATAGCATGAATCCCTTTTAGCGTACATAGCCACCAGCGTTCTCCGGCTTTAAAATTTTAAATTGAAATTGGAATTTTTAATTTTTTAATTTTAATTATAAGTGTAAGTTGAACCTAAATTTAAATTTAAATTCAGATTATCATACAATTAAATAATTAATAATGATAATAAATTATTCAACTACGC